ATCTAGTGCATATATTCTCCTCTCTCACCTATGAAGAAGCAATTTTTCGATAAGCAGTAACTAATAATTTTTGGAAAATGGTCCGTTCCTCTACCATTTCATGAAACATCGAAAATAAGACGTTGCCACTGAAACTAGAGAATTGCGAAGCAAAACTGCTCATTGGTTCAAATTATTCTGGCTTTGTTTCGATTAGGTCCCGTGAGATTTTACAATCGACCTACTCTAACTAATTCATGATTTCGTCTTCTCGGGATTGACGAGCATGTGACGCAGCACGTTCTAAAGAGCAAATATAAACATTTCAGCGTTCATTTCTGCATTTCACTGTTAGCTTGCTTGCCAACTGAAGCATACCCTCAATTCTGGCGAGTCACTGATGCACGTCATCCACAAACTATCCGATGATGTTTATTCGGTCGCCAATTTACTATCTGAAAAGCAGAAAACCTTGTCTTTGAGCGAATTCGCAGCAACATATGGACATGGAATGGTGGGAAGATTAGGGGTGACATTGGCTTTCCAGCAGAGGCTTGCGCTCATGCAACAAGGTGAGGAGCTTTCTCCTTTACGTTATTGAGACATGCTATAAAAACAAACAAATTGTGCTGAGTTGGAGCATAAGTGGTGACGTTTTTCTAACTTGAGAATTTGCTTTTAAGATGTAATGTTACATATTGAGTTCTACATGATTTGATAGAGAATTCCTCGTACTAAAAGATAGTATGCTCAATTTTTTCTGAAGATATTACTTTCATTGATTTTTAAGTCTCAAATTGAGAGTCAAGTCGACAAAGTTCAGCATTTTCAACACTTTCTGCACTTTCTCCCTGCTATAATGAAACGAGAAGCTGAAACCACAGAGAACCGTTTGATAAGTCATGACCAGGTAGCGATGTCTCTCAGGAAGGTACAAAACGGTTAAGACGATTCGAAGATTCAGATTCAGAGCAAAGGATCCCTTAATGAGTTTCATAGGAAGCTTACTGGATAAGCTTTGTCATGGAGGTCCATATCAAAGAATGAAGAATCGGGATGCCATGGAGGGCTCCCAGCTCTCATCGAGCATCACTTTTACATTACAGATTCGGAACTTGGTAGACGAGTTCTTCAGGTCGTTGCTTCCAAGAAGG